TCTAGCGCATCTTTGGGAGCAAAAATTAATATAAGACACTGACTTATTTTTGGGGAAACAGGGTAGTAACAGGGATGTAAAATACAGCACAGAGAATATAGTCAATAATATTATAATATTGTATGTACGGTGGCAGGTGGGTACTGGAAGTATCAGGAAGAACACTTTGTAAAGTATATGTGTGACTACTATGTTGGAACTAATACACAATGACATTGAATGTAAACTGTAATTGAAAAATAAAATTTAAAGGTCTTTTAAAAAAAATCACTATTACTGAGAACTGAAATATTTTTCTACTTACAAGCTCACAAAAGGGTAACCAATTTAAAGATGTGACATAGAACCGTGGTCAGCAAACTGTGGCTCGAGAGCCACATGTGGCTCTTTGGCCCCTTGAATGTGGCTTTTCCACAAAATACCACAGCCTGGGCAAGTCTATTTTGAAGAAGTGGTGTTAGAAGAATTTTAAGTTTAAAAAATTTGGCTCTCAAAAGAAATTTCAATCATTGTACTGTTGATATCTGGCTCTGTTGACTAATGAGTTTGCCGACCACTGACATATAAGAAGACAAATTTCTATTGTTAAACAATAAATTCTGAGACTTGAAATATTCTAGCAATGCTACTATATTTAATCAAATTATAAACATCTGTTATTAATCTGAAGTTTTGATATTAAACAGGAACTTTCATTTGTTGAAAAAAAAAAGACACTTTTCAAAGATAGACATACAGAAGGCCAAGAGACATATGAAAACATGCTCAAAGTCGTTAATCATCAGAGATGCAAATCAAATGACAATGCGGTACCATCTCACACCTGTCAGAATGGCTATCATCAACAAATCAACAAATGACAAGTGCTGGTGAGGATGTGAAGAAAAGGGAGCCCTCGTGCACTGCTGGTGGGAATGCAGACTGGTGCAGCCACTGTGGCGAACAGTATGGCGTTTCCTCAAAAAATTAAATATGGAACTGCCATTTGACCCTGTGATCCCACTTCTAGGAATATATCCTAAGAAATCCGAAACACTAGTCAGAAAGATTGTATGCATCCCTATGTTCATAGCAGCACAATTTATAATAGCTAAGATCTGGAAACAGTCCAATGAGTGGATAAAAAAGCTGTGGTACATTTATAGCATGGAATACTATGCAGCAGTAAAAAAGAAGAATCTCTTACACTTTGAGACAGCATAGAGGGACCTGGAGAGTATCATGCTAAGTGAAATAGCCAGAAAAAAAAAAGTAAGTATCACATGATCTCACTCATATGTGGAATCTAAGTAACAAAATAAACTGATGAACAGAGTGGATCCAGAGACATGGAAGCATGGAACAGAGTGCGGGATCTAAGAGGGAAGGCAGAGAAGGGTGAGTGGGTGGGAGGTAATGAACCAAAGACCTTGTATGAATATATGCATAACCCACAGACACAGACAATAGGTAGCTGAAAACCTGGGGTGGGCGGCGAGAGCAGGCTGGAGGGAATCAGTGGGGGAGAAAAAGAGGACATATGTAATACTTTCAACAATAAAAATTTATTAAAAAAAACAACAACTGTGGTATGTCTATGCAATGGAATACTATGCTGCTGTAAAAAAGAAAGAACTCTTACCATTTGCAACAGCCTGGATGGAATTGGAGAGTATTATGCTAAGCGAAATAAGCCAGTTGGAGAAAGATTAAGTATCACATGATCTCACTCATTTGTGTAGTATAGTGAACAATATAAATTGATGAACAAAAATAGATTCAGACATATAGACGCATTGAACAGACAATCAAATCTCAGAGGGAAGGCAGGGGAGGGGAAACTAGGGTGGGGTGGTGAGAAATCATTCAAAGGACTGGCATGCATGCATATAAGCATAACCAATAGACACAGACAATAGGGAGTGAGGGCCTGTGTGTCTGTTTGGGAGGAGGGGGGCGGGAGCAGGCTGAGAGAGGTCAATGGGAGAAAAAGGAGACATATGTACAATATTTTCAACAATAAAGAATTTAAAATAGCTCTAGTTGGTTTGGTTCAGTGGATGGAGCATCAGCCTGAGAACTAAGGGTCCTGGGTTTGATTCCAGTCAGGTTGCTGGCTCGATCCCTGGTGGGGGGCATGCAGAAAGACAGCTGATCAATGATTCTCTCTCATCACTGATATTTCTCTTTCTCCCTCTCCTTTCCTCTCTGAAATCAATAAAAATATATTTTTGAAAAAGAATTTAAAATAAAAATTTAAAAAGTCCTAGCCAGTTTTTCTCAATGGTTAGTGTCAGCCTCCAGACTGACGGTTCTCGGGTTGAATTCCACTCAAGGGCACATGCCTAAGTTGCAGGCTCCATCCCTGGTCCAGGTCGGGACACATGAAAGAGGCAACCAATTGATGTGTTTCTCACATCGATGTTTCTCTTTGTCCCTCCCCTTTCCTTCTAATTTTTCTAAAAATCAAGGGGAAAAATATCCTTGGGTGAGGATTAACAAAACAAAATAAATGTTTAGGTGCTGAGCCCAGGAATAAAATCTGAGATTCTTCCACCCAGCCTCTATGGGTCAGTGGTTATGCATTGACCCAAGAACAAGGAAGTCATAGTTGGATTCCATTCAGGACACATGCGTAGGTTTCAGACTCAATCCCCAGTAGGGGGCATGCAGGAGGTAGCTGATCAATGTTTTATTCTTACATCAGTGTTTCTCTCTCTCTCCCTCTCCCTTAATCTCTATGAAATCAATAACAACATATTAAAAAAGAAAGAAAAAAACAAACAAACAAAAAAAAACCCACACAAAAACTGGGATTCTTCCAAGACTGTTTCTCCTCCAACACAAAGGCATAACTTTTGTGTGACACGCAATAGGCTCAATTTTCTTGCCAATATCATGTTCCTTTATTCTTTGCAATATATGAATAAAATCAGCCTGCTCTTGGAAGCCTATTAATTCTTAAGAAATAAACCAAGGGAAAAGGGCAGTAAACCAATTCAAGCAAAGCTTTGGTATTTGTGGTTCTATAATTTAAAAAAAAAAGTGATTGAGGAGAGTTATAGCTCAAAAAATGGAAATGACTAGAGTGACCTCCATATGGTTAGTTATTATTTAATCCTCTCAACATAACTCTTCCTCCCATCCCTTACCCTCTCACAGCGCCTCTTCTGCAAATGAGTGCTTTATATTGTGGAGGCCACTGAGTCCAAATAATATAATATAATATAATATAATATAATATAATATAATATAATATAATATATATGTTTTTTTAAAATATATTTTATTGATTTTGTACAGAGAGGAAGGGAGAGAGATAGAGAATTAGAAACATCGATGAGAGAGAGTCATTGATCAGCTGCCTCTTGCACACCCCCTACTGGGGACATGCCCGCAACCAAGGTACATGCCCTTGACCAGAATCGATCCCGGGACCCCTCAGTTCCCAAGACGACGCTCTATCCATTGAGCCAAACCAGTCTCGGCCAAAGAATATAATAGCTCTCTTCATTTTGTTATAATTTTTACAACTCCTATAAAGTTCAAGCTTTGGACTACATCTAACAAATGGAAAAACTGAAACATGCCAGAGCCTTTTAAATTTCAGCAACATGTCAGTTCATGTGAAACACTGCTTTAATGTTTAAGGACAATTTATTTTGTATATTTGCATCTACTATTTGAAGTCTTTAACTTAGTATTTTCAAAGAAAAGAAATAACTCTTGTCACTTATCAAACAATGCTAACACTGATTGCTAAGCCTTCCTAATGACAGGTACTTCTTGAAAAGGACAACCCTATCAAAACCAATCTGATTCTAAAATATATTTGTAGAGATAAGAAATAAAGCTTGAATATTAACTTTGAATTTATATTATACTAATTGTATTCATCAGACATATATCACTAATTTAAAAAGGAGCTATTTACTCAACCAGGTGTAACTGAACAAGCAAAAGAAAATTGTTCATAAATGGATAATATGCTAATTAGTCTGCTGATCTGCTTTAATTAACTTAAAGGAATCATTAGTTAAATCAACTATGTAAACTCTATAATTTCACAGTATTTGAGAACATGGAAAAACACTTGCTTATCTAAGATATTTTTAAACTTTGTTATAATCAGTTGGATAAACTGGTTTTTCCAGAACCCATAAAACCAAACTGTAACACATATTGTGTTCAAGTACTACAAATATTGAATTAGTGAGGTTTAATTAGATAAGATCCTACTATATTCTAGTAGTATTTACTATGTCAGATATGGAATTATTAAGAGGCCTACTTTAATTTTAAAATATGACCCTAACCATTTATGATATGTTGTATTCAAAGCCCTTTATTTTTCAATTTTCTAGATGGGCATTTAATAGGACACAACACTGACTTTGCTGTTGGATTATACTACTGTCCTTTATCTGAACTGCATAGAATTAGTCAACAGAACAAATAACCAGGGAACTGTACAATTGGAGGTAGCATCTTCAGTAAAAAGCTAGTAAGCACATCAATTCCTTAAACTATGTCAACATTCTCACTAACCTAAATTCTGACAATCTGTCAAATTCATAAACAACAGATTGTAGTTAAAAACACGTCACTTATTTCAAATGCATTCTCCTTCACAGCTTTTATTTTTTACCTCCTGCCCTCAAACACAGTTCACGGTTCTGGCTAACCCTATTCTCTTCCTGGCATTCTCATTTTTATCTTATTTCACACCCCATTAAAGTGAGCGCATTGTATTTTGGTTTCTTTTCTCCCTACTCATTGTCCAGACCAGCATTTTAATCATCTCTAGAGCAATGCTGTTCAAGGAAAACAAGGCTCTATGAAGCTGACTAAAATTCCCCAAGTTCAATGCTTTTCAAAGTAAGATCATTTTTTCCTTGACCTATTTCTTATAAATCCATGCAAAGCAAACACCACAACTGGTAAAACAGCTACAGAGAATTGGAAGCTTAAAAATAATGCCGTTAAAAAAACAAACAAACACAAAACACTTCATTACACACCTTCTCTGTGAAGCCCTTTGTTCCCACTGAAAACCATACTGGAATCCTTGCATAAAAGAAGTTGCCTTCTGGCTGTCAACTGCTAGACAGCCAGGAACTGAGGATCCAGATGTCTGCAGTGGTTAAAACGAATGCTCAGTGGTGGGTGCTGATTCCGCTCTCCCTCTGAGGCTGTTCACAAAGGCAGCAGAGTCAGGGCGCACATAGCAACAGCACTCTCCGCTGATTGGCCGCGGGGCCGCTCAGCCCCTGCTCGCCGGGTCCACTCCGGCTTCCTGTCTACTTGGCAGCGCTCTCCTGTTGTCTCTGCGCCTCTCACCAACTCAGCTGTGGTTAGGCAACTTGAAAGGAAGCAACGGTAGAGCGGTAATGACAGAGGACTCTAGCACGAGCCCCTAAAATGTGCTTCTCCGGGTGCCTTTACACAGAGAAATGTGTAAGGCAAACAACTCAGTCAGTGTTTCCCATAAAACTGAGGACAAAGGGGTGGTGGAGGGAATCAATTTATTACCTCGAGTTTCAAGTAAATCAGGTTCTACCAAGTGACACCCCCTGAAACCACAGAGATATAGAAATTTACAACTAAAATAAAAGCATCAACCTCCATCAACGTAGGACTAGGAACTGCTTTGCCATAAACTTCACAATTCTTAGAAAAGCACAACCAACTCATTAAAATGGATGAGGGCCTGAAACAGCCCCCCTTCGAACGTATGCAGTGCCTTTTAAGTAGTCGGATTGGTAAGAAAAAGATTTAAAAAGGAAAAACAGTTACTTAGTAAACTCTGGCAACAATAAAAGATTTAACTAGATATTGGCATTAAAACATCTCTTCTTGGTAGTGAATACCCAATACAATGTAGAGATGATGTATTGTATAAGTGTACCCCTGAAACCAGTTGCCCCAATAAATTCAATAAAAAGATAACATTGAAAATAGAAAAAAAAAAAATATATTAACTAAACGTCTCTTCTTACATAAAACAACAATGACATTTAGCCTGAATTCATTTATTTTCTCTATCATGAAAGCATCTGGAAATATAAAGGCATAGGAGGTTTTGTTCAGGTTTTAGAATACTAGAGTCTGCACTATCTCTACAAGCTTTAACAACAAAATCCCTCCCCAGTTTACAAAGATACTTGAAGGAATTCATGCAGGTAGTAGGAGATAAGCAGATATGAAGGATCAGAAGGAAAAACAACAAAACACCTCATTTAGGAAACATTTCCCCAGAACATCACATAAATTAGGATAGTGTTTTTTCAAGCCTTTAAAGCAAGGGGACCCTTTTTACTTGCATTCTTCCAATGAAGTGCATTGTTAGTGGTGGCTTGAGGACCTCTAGACAGGCAGGTTTGTGGGAGTAGGCAGAGGCTACAGCAGAAGCACACTGCTATTACTCAGCTCTTTGTTTATCTGGAGTGTCTTGGGGTTAGGGAGCAGAGGCCCATGGAAATGTTGGCTCCATTAAAGCACCCCATGAGCACCACGAGGCTATTTTTAAATGGGAGGCCACAAACAACCCTGCAGTTTCCTATCAGCCCCACAATCCGCAAGATTCCTACCCCTGCAAAAGCTTCTAGGATCCCTGGAGTCCTAGAGTGATTTTCAACCAGCATGCCACAAGAATTTTAAAACATGCAATACCTGACTATTTAGTCAGGGACACTGCCTCTTTTTCCCTTCGTTTGTCAAATAAAAAACCCCAACAACAACCAAAACAATAGCTGTCTGGTGTAAGTGAATCAAAATTATACTTTTTTTTTGGTCAGGCAGAAAATATATTTTTTGGTGTGCCATAGAATTTTAGTAATTAGTTTATGTGCCACGAAATGCACATAAGGTTGAAAATCACTATTCCATAGCATACAAGTAAGAGTAGACAGTGTATATATAACCTTTAGGAATTAAGCCGCATTATTACCACAGTATAAAGAAAGAACCCGGTCATTGGCTCCACCATTAGCTGGAAGGAGAGCTACAAAACCCTCTGAGAAATAAGAAGAGGGAAGATGTGTTTTGGGAGCAAAATAAGCCTATGAGGTAAGTGACTCAGAAAAAGAAAAGCACAGTAGACAGAACAAGGATTCTGGAGTTGGGCCAACCAAACTGGGTTCAAAACATGAATCTGCCATTTATAAACAGCAAGACCCTATATAAATTACTGAACCATTCATTCTAAACTTCAGTTTTCTTATCTGTAAAGTAGAATGAACTCACAGGGCTATTGTGAAGGCTAAAGGGTGCTTACTGCCAACCAGACTGGATTTTTACTAACTAAGGACCATTAAGCTTCTTTGCAAATACTGTTCCTACTCCACTAGGAGAGGTCTTCCATAATGCCTTCAATTGATGTCTCAGTTTAAATTCTCTTCCCCAGGCAGTTTTCAATCTAGATCCAAGACTAGTCAGGCTCTCTGTAGGTTTTTCTTTTTTTTTTTTAAGTATATTTATTTTATTAATTTTCCACAGAGAGAAAGGGAGAGGGATAGAGAGCTAGAAACGCTGATGAGAGAGAAACATCGACTAGCTGCCTCCTGCATACACACACACACACACACACACACACACACACCCCCGCACTGGGGATGCGCCTGCAACCAATGTACATGCCCTTGACCGGAATCAAACCTGGGACCTTTCAGTCTGCAGACCGACGCTCTATCCACTGAGCCAAACCGGTTTCGGCTGTATGTTTTTCTTAGTACTTAGCTCATACGATGCTAAATAGTTATTTGCAAAATGACTGGCTTAATAAAATTCTCCTCCACTACACTGTAAGTGCTTTGTCTACATTATTGCTCATCTAGCACCATGCCTGATTTACATACATATACTATTTGATTTGATTTTGCAACTATGGGAGGTAAATAGAATAAGCATCATTATTTGCAGTGTTCAAATAAGAAAATCATCTCTAAAAGTCTGTTTATGTACATTATACAACTAGAAGACAAAGGAAATAAAACTTTAAAACATTTTGAATAAATAACTATATAACTCAAAATTAACATCTTCCTATATCTTTCAAAACAGAAATCCTATATAATCAAGAGGTAATATACAAATTGACCATCACTCCAACACACAAGATGGCTGCCCCCATGTGGTCAAAGATGGCCTGCAAGAGAAGAAAGTTGTGGGTGATCAGGCCTGCAGGGGAGGGCAGTTGGGGGGGATCAGGCCAGCAGGGGAGGGAAGTTGGGGGGGGGGGGGGAGCAGGGCTGTAGGGGAAGGCAGGTGCGGGGGGACCAGGCCTGCAAGGCAGAGAAGTTGGGGGGACCAGGCCGGCAGGGAGGGCAGTTAGGAGCAATCAGGCCAGCAGGGGAGTGGTTAGGGCATGATCAGGCTGGCAGGCAGAAGCAGTTTGGGTCCATCAAGGCAGGCAGGCAGGCGAGTAGTAGGGAGCCAGCAGTCCTGGATTGTGAGAGGGATGTCTGACTACCTGTTTAGGCCCGATCCCAGTGGGCCTAAATGCACAGTTAGACATCCCTCGAGGGGTCCAAGATTGAGAGGGTCCAGGCTGGACTGAGGGACACCCCCACCCCCAACCATGTATGAATTTTTGCACCTGGCCTCTAGTAATATATAATCTCTAAATTATTTTGGAATACTTCCTTTGAGTTATAATCCATAAACTTTTTAATTAAAGGCTAATGATATCCTATATCTACAATCTAAAACTATTGGTTAACATCATATACAAAGAGAATTTATAGAAAAAAATATTAAATTTCATCAGGAATATAATTATAAGTGAATAACATCTACTCCAAGAGACATGCCATCTTCAAAAGTAAAACTCAACCAACAGGTTTATTTAGTGAAATGCTTCCAATGTGCTGCCAGTTTTCCAATAAATTTCAAAATGACACTTTATATGATCCTGAAAAACGCTTGCTTTTCCCTAATTTGTTCATCTTGGTACATACAAAGCTGTAAATGAATGTGTTATAACATATCAACACATTATCTATTTTGTATATCTCAAGAGCCTACAAGTTAGGAATATGAATAATATAAAATTCTATACTAAATACTAGTCCCAGATTCTTAATTCTCCACCCCCAGCCATGAAAAAAACCCTATATCCCCTGCATCCCATCTAACATGCCATAACTGTGTTCTCCAAGTGACCAGCTCAAGAAATAAATATAAATTACTCATTATTGTAATGTAATGAAATAATCAGGAAAGCAGACCTTTTGAGTTTTTTTAAACTACATATTTCAAATACAAAAATGGAATAATTTAAAATACCAATTGTTTCATGTTATGTATCCTCTCTTTTAACACAATTGAAAACTATCTACTTTTAAGATACTTTAGAGATAATCATGCTAGATTAAACACTTTCTAAACAAAAAGAAATATTGCTATTACAAAAAATAAAGGCCATCAAAGCTAATGATTAAATAACTATTGCACATGTAAGGCCCATTGGCCAGGTGTGGTGCTAATCTCTACTATCCATCCTCTGACCTTGTGGTAGCTACTACGGTCTTGTTCCTTGCCCAAGTAACCAGAACCCAGTGGGAAAATCCAGGATTCAAATGTAGGTCTTCCAAAATCTAATGTGCATGCTCTTAACCACTACATCCTTTTCTAACAATTTCTTTCTTACATACATTTTCATAAGGCAAATGTGGCCTCACACAAAAATAAAATTTAAATGCAGAAATCTCAAGTCAACATTTCCCAATTATTACTTACTCAATAACCACTACTACAGCCCATTACACCTCAAAACTGTCATACTTATTTATAATACAGGAAAACAGGACTGCTAAATGAGAGAGCCAGACTGTAGCTGTAGTGTGATCACTACATGACACAATAAAATATTCAGTCTGTAAAACTTCATTATTTCATGCTCAGAGGTCGCATACCTCATCCAGACAACGTAATGGGAGTAGAAAAGGGAACTAGACCAGGAACCACAGATCTGGGTTCTAATCTAAACTCTCTCTCTCATCAGCTTTGTGATCTTAAGCACTTCTCAGAAATTGCTTAAATTTTACATCAGTATTTTTTGCCTGCAATATTGATATGTTGTAAAGATCAAATAAGATAGGCTAAAGTTATTTGAAAACAGTTAAATGCTATACCAATAGGATTATTGTCATCCCTGGTGGTCTTAGGAGATAGCAGAATATTAGTAAACATGTTTGTACAAAATCCAAATTCCGTTACTGG